GCTCCCCTCTCTTCTCTCTCTCTTCTCTCTCTCTCTCTAATTTCCCTCTTTCCCCTCTCTTATCTCAGTCTCACTCCTTTACTCTGCTTTTGCTCCTCCCCTCTCTTCTCTCTCTCTTCTTTTCTCAGTGGCATGGCTATATGTAGCTGCAATGGGGCCTGGGGTGGGAAGGGGGACCCATTAGGGAAGCTTTTGAGGCAAACTGTGAAGTCTCCAGGAGGAACCTCGAGGGTCGTTGGTGTCCCTCGTCACAGGGACACCAAGATCCCTTGTCTGGCTCTGGTAGCAGTGAACATTCGTTGCTCTGTGAACGTCTGCTACAGCCCACCAGCCATAAATTAGCCTCACGCTGTCAACCCCCCATAGTGTCTTCTCAGTTACACCCTGATGAGCCTGAGGTTGGCAGTTCTGCATATATTCCAGAATTCAAAGACATTTGTGCTAGGGATACAGAGGAGATTGTGGCTCGGGTCTAAAGACTTAGGCTGTCCATATTCTCATCAAGCGTCGGCACCCCTCCATTGGACAAAAGCCGATCTTTCAATCAACTGTTGTCAAAGGATCCGGTCTAAAAAATCTTGACAGAAAAGTGACTGCAGGCTATCAGCTGCAGTCGTTGGTGGGTTATTCTAACAGCTACATTCCCACCGCTGTCAGAATACATTGCCCCAAAGGGGGGGAAAATCCCAAATCCATGTTGTAAGTGTAGATGGAGAAATTTAGTTTTTTTTCTCATTTGGCCCGCGGGCTGAATAAGACAAAACTATTAATATATGGCCAGCCTAAGGCCCTGAGATCTGAAATGCGTAGTTAGCTTGAAAATTAAAGTGACATTAATCCCTCCGATTTTTAAACATAAACCAATACTGTAATGTGTAAAGCTACTGTAATCCATAGTAGTTTCCCTTCTCTTTGCTGCTCTTCCTTTTAAATCCTTCTCTCTTCTCTTGCTGAGAGGGGGGGGGGGGGGCATCACATTTTTGCTATGGAGCCCCGTGATCTGTAGTTACGCCTCTGCCTGACAGTCTCCATGTATCCTACACCGAAGGTTTCATTTGTAGAAAATTCCAATACAATTGATAACTTACCTCCGTGATGTTCTTTCTGGAGCTCAAGATTCCCATTCCATTCATTGCCTGAAAATTAAAACCATAAATGAAGGTTGATGTTGGACTTTATTGATATTCTCCTCCAGTAGAAATGTCTATTTCCACTGCTGGGATACGGCACAAAGCTGCTCTGGATGCCGCAGAGACTGGAGTCCTTCGGCTATGGAAAAAAATGTTGGAACAGAGGACTCTCTACCCATGGAGAGGAGCTACAAAGTCTAGTAATAGATTTAGATACGGATGGAAGAATAATGATATATGACAATCAGTGGTGTAACAATCGCCATAGCGACTCAGGCGGTCGCTATGGGGCCCGGGGCACACGGGGGCCCAGCCAGGACATCCCCCTGATGCCGTACAGGCCTCCTGAGTCGCTATGGCATCTCAGGCAGCTGGCTGTCACTGGCGGGTGTAGGAGGAATGTGTCGCTGTTAGATCACCGAAACCAGTCAGTGATGTGTGCAGCGGTGCATTCCTCCTCACAGCCGCTGCTGAGTCAGTGACAGCCAGCAGCTGTGGAGGAGGAAGACTGGGCCCGGCGTCAGTAGCTGCGCAGGAGGCTGGCCCGACGATGGTAGAGGAGGCGGGGCCTGGCGACGGAAGAGGAGGTGGGACCTGGCGACGGAAGAGGAGGTGGGGCCTGGCGACGGAAGAGGAGGTGGGGCCTGCCAGCGACCATGGAGGCGGACAGCGGATATGGGCTGACAGGTAAGAGGTGTGCAGCCCATCTGAGACCCTGCAGAGCCCACCATAGAGAGTCTATGGCGGGCACTGCAGGGTCACTCTCAGGTGGGCTGTTTGGGACCTCAGGTGGGCTCTGCAAAGGGCATAACTAGAAATCACAGGGCCCCATACACAATGTTGCTATGGGGCCCTGTGATTTCTAGTTAACGCCCTTGATGACAGTGCGACCTGCTACAGGCAGAATCTGTTTGCAGTGGCTGTATTCAGTTATTGTTCCAGAAATCATTAGATATGCCTGGGCCGAGCTCACCCAGGACTGAATGGTAATATCTGGAGGTTGGGAACTTTTCCAGCTGGGGGTGGACCTGTTAGTCAATGTGGCCGAACTCTGCTTGACAATGCCAGGTGAAGGTTGGGATCAGAGGAGATACGTTTTTGGAGCTTGATTCTTCAGAGTCAGACATCGAAGTTGCCAGGTCGGTGGCTGGGCTTTTTGGAGATAGTATGAAAATGGTGCCACAGGTTCTCCAAAACCTATTAGTGCTCTACCAGCTGCAGCTTTTGGTGTCTCCAGATGGATGGCCACCAGATCCCACCCAACGCAGTGGTAATCTATGTTGATCCTCTAGATCTGTTATCTTTAGGACAGTTTTTTCATACTCAATGTCATCACCTCAAGCCTAAGACTGGGATGATGCAATTGTCAGTCACCAGAAGATGGTATTTCCATCTTCAAGCCTTAAACAGACCCTATTGCCAGGCCATGAATGTCAACAAATCTTTCCATAGGATTATATGCACATTTGAGTTTTTATGCATGCCATTGACCTGTGAAAGCCTCCCTTGTGTAGATATCCAAAGCCCTGAAACTGCCGGTGGGTGCCGCCATCTTGGATGTGATGTCAGCAGCCCCCAGCAGACTCGGAGCTGTCATTCAAGTGACACTATATGGTAGTCCTCTTCATTGCTTCCCTGACTACTACATATAAGGTTGTGTAGGGAGGGGAGGGATGGAGCTGGGCCGCAACTCACAGTAATTAGACACTCCCAGAAGCGGAGAGGGCCATGATGTACAAGGAAGAAGGGTGCTGTGCTAGGAGACTGACTCTTCCTGGAGTAGTCAAATCTTCTAGCAAGTTTAAGGGGCACATTGCAAGTAAATAAAAAAAAAATCATGTCCCTGTGACACCCGTACAAGTATAAACAAACTTCAAAGGGGATATCTGTAAAAGAAATAAGTCAAGGCAACTGGACTTGCTGTATTTTTCTTGAAGACGTTTCAATGGTCATCCGACCAGCTTTCTCAATTCAGAATGACTTGTACAAAAATTATCTGGGAATAAATATGGTGATTGTTGCTCCAATCCACATAATTTGTTAGTCACAACCAGGTGTTGGTGCATTTGCATAATTGGAGTCTAGGAGGTGTTAACCTGCCCAGAGAGAGGTGTTATACAGCATTGTATGTGGCAGACAGTAGATGTCCCCCCCCACCTCCCCCCACCTCTACTCAAGCTTGGCTTCTCCATTTTTACATAAATTGCCTCTTTCACACCTCTTTCAAACCAGTCCTCCTCCCTGTCTAGGAGGCGTACTTGACTGTCTTCAAAGGTGTGACCTTTTTCCTTTAGATGTTGGTACACTGCTGAATCCTGACCAGAGGGTTTGGCTCTTCCATGCTGTGCCGTACGCTGGTGTAGCTGCTGTTTTGTTTCACCGACATACAATTACAGTGGTACCTCGGATCACGAACGCTTCTGTTCGCAAACAGGAAGTTCAGCATAATTTTGCCTCTGTTCGCGAACTCCGCTTCGGGTGACGAACACAATCGCAGCCATTTTCCCTGCTCTGACACATGGTCATGGCGTCCTCCAGTCGAGATCGGTGTGATCACAGTTTGATTCGGTTCACGACCAAATCGGTTCGTGACCAAAACGGTTCGCGACCAGAATCGGGGAACGAATTAGGTTTGTGAACCGAGGTACCACTGTATATACCATGACCTGGATGAACCTTCACAGACATATAAAGGGGATACATTGAAACTTACTTGGGGTATCAACGGAGAGTCCGAACACCTGAACTTCACATAAGTCGATACGTTTAACCTGGTCCGGGATGACGATAGTGACGTATCGCCCCTCCATCCCATCACAGTTAAAAGAGAACGTTTCTCCGGGGCCAATGGATGACACCGTCCCGCACCTGGTGGAGGGAAATGATGCCGATTTGAAGGCTGTCTGGTATTTATAAGAACATTTCAGTCTTTATTGTGCTGTGTAAGTATATCCATCACTTTGTAATGTAGATTTTGTATGGGATGCGTCTGTTGTCTTTTTTGTTTCCTTTGGGCCGGTGCGTTGTCATGTGTTGATACCATTCCCATCACAAGCCCCTGTCCTATTGCCCAAAAAGCAGACGAGGAATGTTTTTGGCCAACGCACATCATCCCAACACAAAGACATGACTTGGCACCATTAGATACAATGACAAACCTATGTATATGCCTTGACACATGCGTTATCCATCATAGGTGTGACAATCGTGATATTTCTCTGCTTTCTGCTGAGTATTGTGGAATTCTCTCAGTCTGCCCCCAATGACCAGTATAGGATGTCTATATGCAGGGCCGGATTTCTCACAATAATTTAAGCAATTAGTTGCGCTAGGAGAGAAGGCGACTAGTCACCAGCTGCAACAATGTATGTAAAACACTGATCTATGAGGCTAGTATGTTGCGCTTGGTGTTGTTTGATCTACTTGGTGTTAAACCTCCTTGTGTACAGTGGCGTAACAATCGCCATAGCGGCCCAGGCGGCCGCTATGGGGCCCGTGCACAGGGGGGCCCGGCATCCCTCTGATGCCGTGTGGGCCGCCTGGGTCGCTATGGCGTCTCGGGTGCTGGCTGTCACTGACATAGCTCAGCAGCTGCTGTGAAGGAAAACGTTCCCCCTCACAGCCGCTGTGTCAGTGACAGCCAGTAGATGCGGCAGAATAGGCCGGTTACACCGGCATTTTCAGTAAAGAAGGAGGCGGGGCCCGCCTAACCGCAACCCCGCCTCCTCTCACATCACTGGCCAGCGATCTAAGAGCAGGTGGGGCCAGTGATATAAGAGGAGGCGGGGCCCGTCGATAGAAGGAGGCGGAGCCCGGGAACGGAAGAGGAGGCAGGGGCCCGGCGGCGGCGACCACGGAGGTGACAGGTAAGAGGCGTACAGCGCAACTGAGACCTTGCAGAGCCCACCATAGAGAGTCTATGGTGGGCTCTGCAAGGGGCATAACTAGCAATCACGGGGCCCCATACAAAATTTTGCTATGGGGCCCTGTGATGTCTAGTTACGCCCCTGCTTGTGTATATCGTTCAACTGTGTAGTGTTTATATTAATCTAAGTGATTGTTATATTGGGAATAATAAACAGCCTTAAACCTTTGTTATTAAAGGAGAACTATGGGGTCAGTGTTTTTCCCCACAGTTCTCCTTAGGGTAACGGGAGGACACAAACTAGCATCCTCCCGTTACCCTAAGCTCAGTATATGGCAGGCTACAGCTCGCGATATACTGAGACGCCGCAACCGGAGCGGATCCCGACTTAGATGACGGGATCCACCCAGCTGCGTGAGTGACAGCTGGCTCTGCCTATCTAGAGGCAGAGCCAGCTGTACCCGCCCCCCTCCCCCGTCCGTTCCGCCAGTCAGCGCTGGCAGATCGGAGCGAGGAGGGGGGAATCCAGCCCCTCCCCTGTCACTGCAGAGAGCCGTGACAGGATCGAGAGGTGAGCGAACGCCGGTATGTGTTCCCTCACCTCCCGATCTACTGAGCCGACCTGTGACAGTCTCATTGTCACAGGTCGGCTAGAACTATGAGGTGAGTGAAAAGCACCCCCCTCCCCCCCCTCATAGTTCTCCTTTAAGTAATACATTATTTCTATTTGTTTTCTGTGATTATCTTTTAAATGTGAGATATTCTAGAATCCGTGTGGCGTGGTCTAGTGAACCACACAAATCTTGAATTGGTGTATCCACTATTGTATTTAAAACATCACAATGGTGGGTATGGAATTATGAATATTATTATTATATTCACAATTCCATACCCACCATTGTGATGTTTTAAATACAATAGTGGATACACCAATTCAAGATGTGTGTGGTTCACTCGGATTTCTCACAAGGCCAACCAAGGCCCGGCTTTGGGGCAGCAGGGAGTAGAGGGGCAGCAGGGGTGCGGAATTCCTATCTCCCGATGCCCGGGACATGCCGCCCCAGGCGCCGGGCGGGTAGTTGTTTTCTACATGTAGCCGGCTTGTAGAAAATTTGAGGAACCTGGCCTTGGGGCAGCAGAGAGAATAAATCCGGCCCTGTCTATATGGCTAAATAATTCCATCTTCGTAGCCTCACAGAGTATACACAAAGTGCATTGCAATACATTGAAGATTTGCCCAAGTTCTGTTTCTTGCTGCTGTAATGTATCGCAATGCTAAGGGGACCCTAAGAATGTGCATGGATGGCAGCACATTGATTGTGCTTGAACAAGCAAATCGTATGCTCATGGCATTATCTACAGACAACTGCACACATACACTCAATGTACTCAGGGCAGCCATCAGGGGGGGTACTGCAGATACTCATGTAAGGGGCCCGGGCAGCCTGGGGGGGCCGGCCGGGTCCCTTGCATGACTATCGGCCGGCGGTGAAGGGTGTGGAGGCGGAGGCCTGGCCCCAGCATTGCTGCTCCAGTGGCTTTGAGACAAGCAAGGGCCCCATCAGCGACGCTGCTCGTCTGATGTCGGACTTGCCGGAAGTGACATCACTTCTGACCGGTCCGGCGGCAGACGAGGCCATATGTGCAGGTAAGAGGAGCTAGGAAGGAAGGAAGGAGGGATGCAGCACTGTGCAGCCAACCTGAGACCCCTTCAGAGCCCACCATAGACAGTCTCAGATGGGCTGTTCAGGATCTATGGTGGGCTCTGCAGGGTCACTCTCAGGTGGGCCCTGCATCCAGTGCGTCACTAAGCTCTGCGTCCAGCGCGTCACTAAGCCCTGCGTCCAGCGGCGTGGGGGGGCCCGGCCTAAAGTCGTTTAAGGGGCCCTAACATTTCTGATGGCTGCCCTGAATGTACTAATAAGGTGTATTTGGTATAGAACAGTGGTCCTCAATTGTTCAACCTCAGGACCCACATTTGTCCTTGGCCATTAAGTCACGACCCAAATCGCACTGCAGAGGAATGCACGGAATTAAGGCACACACTACAAAACATTTTTAAGGTCCACCCAGTTTCCCTTCTTTACGTGGACTGGGGTCCTGTGTGGGCTGCTGTGCTGTAACGGAGCTCCATCCACACTTGCATTGCTTGTACAGCTCCCTGTAGAGGTGTCGGGTAGACATGTGCAATTCGTTTCGTTACGAATCGAAATTCGTACGAATTTTCCTGAAATTCGTAGATTCGGAAGCATCCAAAATCCGAATTGCAGTTTCCGAATGATATCCGAAATACGAAATTCCGTTAACGAATTTCGGATCCGAATTTCTTTGAAACGGGAACTAATATTACCCCTGTAAATGAGGTTGAACAACATGACAAGATTTTTTTTTTAATCCGAAATACGGATCCGCTGCTGCTGAGAGTCGCATTACAATACACAGGCAGGAAATACGAAATTCCGTTGACGTATTTTCATTCCGTTACGAACATTCGTTATATTGAAGGTAAAAAGCAAAGTACATTTATATTGGAGTTGATGGTAGTTTTTTTTTTAAGTCCGAAATACGAAATTCGGATCCGGAATCCGTTAATGGAATTCGTATTTCGGATACAAAAACAACTACCACATCGACTCCAATATTAACAAAGGTATTTTTGCTTTTTAACTTCATCATAACGAATGTTCGTAAAGTTACGAAAATGTGCCGAAACTAACGAAAATCCGTATTTTGTACGAATCCGAATTGAGTTTCGAAAACGAATTACGAAATACGAAATAATGGATATTACTAAACGGAACGAAACGAAGCGGAACAAATTTTTTGACGGCGCACAACTCTAGTGTCGGGAGCCAGAATGTGATGTCACTCCGGTCCAGTCACCTCTACAGGACACGTGAGGGAGCTGTAAGCAATGCACGTATGTATGGAGCTTGCTCGCGGTCATAGCCCCATCCTATCCCACCTCAAGCTGATGCTCAGCGCCGGGCAGCTTATTTTGAATGGCTGCTTGGCGTTAGACCTAACAGTGCTGTCGCCCCGCAGCGATGTCATCACGCACGGTACCGCTTGTAATTTGCCGGCGGCCATCTTGGTGATGGACGCCGGCAGAGAGAGGAGGGGACGTCACCCGTTGGGATAAGGTATGCCGCCGGGTCCCCTCCTCTCTCTCTCTCGAGCAAGTGTCGGGCTCTCTGACCTTAACCGAGTGCCTGATTTTTCCAAGGGGGGTGACGCCAAAATGACTGCCAGTCATTTTGGTGTCAGTGTCACCCCTCCAATGGTGTCACCCGTGTGCGGGCCGCACCCCCCTTGTGACGCCACTGATTAGTATGAACACTCGAAATCTGCACTTGCTGCAGTGTCTCCAGGACGCCCTTCAATGCCCTACACAGTCAGTAGTTGAACTAAGCAATGGATGATAAAATATGAGGCGTACACGGGGTTCTTCCTCCATCCTGTAGCTGAGTTTCCTATGTGGATCTCGGCCCCATCGAGACTTGTGGGCTCGGAGTCCTTCCTGCTGGTCACTGCGATGAAGAACACTTTGTGGATGGATTTCAGGTCCAGCGTCCACCAGGGATTGCTTTCTTCCTCGGTCCGAGCACAGCTGGATAAGATGCCATCAGAGGCTTTACTGGAGTCACCTCCATCCGTGCTGGACTGGGAGGCCTCACCGCTCAGGGCTACATTAGGTGCTGAAGAAGATACAAAATGTGTATTATTATTATCTGTAACTACATACTTTTAATGGAAGACTTCAATCTAAGTATATAATGTATTCAATGTGTTCAATAAAAGTATATAATCTTTTAGATTGTAAGCCCTCAGGGGCGGGGCCCTCCTTACCATCTTGTATTGAATTGTATTGTAACTGTAATGTCTTCCTTATATTGTAAAGCGCTGCGCAAACTGTTGGCGCTCTATAAATACTGTGTAATAATAATAATAATGGAGATGGCTTCCTTTTAAGGATACATAAGAAAACTCAAGGAAACTAATAACTAACTTATTAATAATAATAATAATAATTTAAAACAATAATAATAACCTCCCTGGAATCCTGTACAGATAATTGAGTTGCTGTTGTTCCCGGTTGCTTCCACTTTGTTATAATACCAGTAACAGGTGACCGCGGAATACTGTATATGGTGGCAAGGAAATCTCACGGAAACCCTGAATCCAATGATTTAGAGGGGGAGGGGCCCAATACTTTTGGTAATATAGTGTGTAGTATAAGTACTAATCTCAGGACGCTTCTGCAGGACTTGCTGGGACTTGTAGTCTCCCACCAGATGCAGACGAGAGCCTTGTAGATTTTATTCAAGCCTTACCGGCACTGGAATGCTTCAGAATATTCCTCAGCTCCTTTGCATCTGTAGTAAAGAAATCAGATGAAGAGAAGATGTTAAGGTAACATTTCATGAACTGAATCCGAGTCCTCTCAGGGTGCGTGTATTCTGAGCTTCATATCCTTAACTGCTACCAGATTCAGCAGGCTTCTCACGGGGTATTGGGTGGGAGGGGTTTCTTTTGTCAGCCCCTCCTCCTGTTCATGCTGCAGTGGGCGGGGCTCCAGTGAGCTCAGGGAGAGGGCAGTGTTGGAACCCGGGGAACACACTGATTGAAATTTAGGGCTGTTTAGAAGACGAGGACGTCAGCAGTTATAAGGATTAAACTCGCAAGTAAGTTACATGCAGGAAGTGAATATTGGAATGAACTCCGCTGGTAAAGAGCATCTCCTGAGCGTGCAGGTCCGTGTGGGTGTCCGTACTCGTACGCTGACAGGATGGATCAGGAGTGAGTCGGGACACCAGCACCCGCACGGACCTGCATTTGGGGTGAGCGTAGGGCGGCGTACGGCCACGTAGTCCCATAGAGAAAGACAGGGGCTGCATACTAATCACACCCAGCACCTGTCCTTCCTGGGAGCGGCCCGATGCGACCGCGCACGCAGCACGGAGCTGTACGTGTCGGCCGTTTCTAGTGTGAATGAGGCCTAGATCAGCGTTTAATATAGTTTCAAAACCTTTTGACCTTAATATCTGTTTATTGATATACTTTATGATCTAAATGCTCTCCTACAAACACTGCTCTGCTGCAGGCGCTTCTGGAAATGTGTAAGTTTTGCTCATTGGGAGCTACAGCTCTTTAGGCCCCATTCACGCACGAATTGGCCGGTACATAAAGCTTCGTGCTCCGTGCGGGGCCGTACCAAACAGCTGCTGGGAAGGACAGGTGCTGCATGTGATTAGAACGCAGCCCCCGTCCTTCTCTATGGGGCTACGCGGCCGTCCGTCCCCCCCCTACGCTCACCTCATTTGCAGGTCCGTAGGGGTGCGGGTTTTCTGGCCGGGACGCATACAGGATCCATTCCGGCGGCCTATGAATACGATCACCCGCACCACTACCGACCTGCAAATGAGGTGAGCGTAGGGGGGCTGCGTAGCCCCATAGAGAAGGACGGGGGCTGCGTTCTAATCACATGCAGCACCTGTCCTTCCCGGCAGCTGTTTGGTACGGCCCCGCACGCAGCACGGAGCTGTACGCGCCGGCCGATTCGTGTGTGAATGGGGCCTTACAGTGTTCTATGGAATGTTCACACACACAGAGATACATTGTTTCAACAAGTAACATTTCCCCATTGAACTCACTAGAAACCTGAAGACCGCCTACAGGTACATTGTAACAAAACAGGTCATGGAAACTATTTCCAAAGCTGAGTCTTTCGCATCCCAGGGGGGCTGAACAAATTCATAGCTGTGATTGGTCCATTTACAAACACTTTTCAGATTGATGATGTTCTTATTTTAGATATAAATGGCGCACTCACCCTCATGTCCTGTAGTCTCGGAGGGGTCGATGTAAAGTGGAATGGCTGTAGAGACAATACGTTAATAGTATTATTATGAAAGAAAAACAATGTGTACATAAACATTAACAATTTGATTTACATTTAATCCTTTTCCGGCAGCTGCTTACCCGTGTAATTATCTGGAAGGTCTTTGCCGTAAACTTTCACCTCGCAGAGCGTCAGATAGCCGGCTCTCCCCGGTATGGTGACAGTGACGTACTGGCCGGCCATCCCGCACACGTACTCCTGTTCCTTCCCCAGACCCAGAGATGTCATTTTTGCACATCTGAATGAAGGAGACGTAAGTTTGCTGCACATTATTGACTTCAAGACTTTCTCGTTGCTCATTAAAGAATTTCTAAAGCCAAAACAATTTTGTCCAATTCCTTCACTTCCTGCCTGAAGCCACAACAGGAATTGAGAAGATGTCTCTCCAAAGTGAGGACAATTCCCTCTTAGACAGTTGTCACCAGGAAAAGTCTTCGCCTTAGAAGATTTCCACTCTACTCCGGTTCTGGAGGCAACCTAAACATTTTGGATTTTCCCATCACTGCCGATTACTATGGTCACCGGAACAAATAGAGTGCTGGAATTTCCCTGGTGGGATCATAGACACTAATCAAAGCCTGATCCCTCTGACTCTTCGCCACTATAACCAAAAATATGAAATGTCTTGGCTTTATATAAAATTTATATGATTTTCCCATTTTGAATGATCAGTAGCCAAGACTGGCTGATGTGATCATATTTTGAGATACTGAAGAAGACCTCACATTTCTCCATTGTGGATGGAATGGAGCCACACATGGTCCTCTTCTAGGTCTTCTCTGAAGTGTGGGACTTTGAAGGGGGGACTTCCTCCCGCCAACAGCTTTTTTAGCCAAGCTGCTGTTGTCACCAACCTAAATGAGTTCTAACCATATCCCTATGGAGAAGGGCAGTAGAGAATCCTATACAGAGATATTGAGAAACTAAAACTATTTTCTAGGGTATGCATACAGTAACTGCATTATTTTTAAGTATCTTCCTGCCAGTTCAGTTTTTTAAGTGCTCAGTTTCACAGGTAAGTCTTCATGCCACTAGACCACAACCCAAACCACATTATATTTATCTACCACAATTAGCAAAGTTGGTGAGCTGCTCTATCTTGACCCACAGCTAGTCCAAGGTAGCCCCCAGGTGTCTTACTTTGGGTTTCGTGAGCCACCTCTTTCAGGAGAAGTTCCAATTCTGATCTCTGCCCCTGCTATCCGCTCTGAACAGCAGTCACCTCTGTTTAAAATTTTGACTTTGGTGACATTGTAGACTCTTGTGAGGTCCACCCTCCACCAGGGCTCTACGTCCAGGTCAGTGTGAGAACAATGTTGGGACATGTAATTGGTTTTTGTAGAACCATCAACGGCATTTTCTGCAGCTCCAAATTTATCGTAGGTGCTGGACTGAGAGCTGATTCCTCGGAAAGCAAGATTCTCACCTTAAAAGAACCAAATAATATTTAGATACTATGTTATATATTAACTATATATATTCAAAAGTGTGTGGACACATTACTATCAAACCTATGTAAGCTTGTTGGGCATCCCATTCCAAATACATGGTCATTAATATGGAGTTTCCCCTTTGTTGCCATTAATATGGGGGTTGCTTGCCCTCATGGTCATCAGTATGGAGTCCTTTTCCCTGACTGTGGCTTCTACTCTTCTGGAGAAGCTTCAACATAATTGTGAGAATTTGTGACCATTTTTGAGGTCAGGTCCTGATATTAGGTGAGAAGAGCTGGATTAATTGGCATTCCAATTCATCCCAAAAGTGTTCAGTAGGGTTGAGGTCAGGACTCTGTGCAGGACACTTGAGTTCCTCCATCAGACTGGTCACACCATGTCTGTCTTTATGGAGCTGACTTTGTGCACAGGGGACAGTCATGGTGGAACAGAAAAGGGTCTTCACCAAACTGTGACCACAGCTGCCTGCAATGTCTTTGTATGATGTAGCAATAACAGTCCCCTTCACTGGAATCACCTGAACACAATCATTCTGAGGAGTTTCTACATATTTTTGGTCATATAATGTAACAAAGTATTGAATGGCATTAGTTCCAAGTACACCAGAAAAAACAGAGTCTGAGGCGCAACTGCCCTTGGGGTTGGTCAGGTGAGAATAGGGGGAAATTTCATGGGCCCATGAAATTTCCCCCTATTCTCACCTGACCAACCCCAAGGGCAGTTGCGCCTCAGACTCTGTTTTTTCTGTTTTGCACCCATACCAATTGGACACCCCGGTCCATATTGAACTGAAGCCGCACGCCACCCCCACCTCAATACCACCCTCCCGCACACAGCCCCCACTTAACCAAACTAATACTAAAAAAGTTCTGAACAACACAAAACCACCCATCCCCCACCCCCCAGGAGAGCGCTGTCACACAGGACTTGAATCCTTAATTTTTCTGTTCCAAGTACACCTCATACCTGACTTTCTAAACTATTCCTATTTTTGGATGAATACTGGCATTCCAATTCATCTTGATGGCGTTCAGTAGGGTTGAGGTCAGGACTCTGTGCAGGACACTCGAGTTCCTCCTGATCCCTGATCTCTTGACCCCTCGCCACTATAACCAAAAACATAAACATTCTTGGCTTTATACTGTATAAAGTTGATGTGCTTTTCACATTTTGAATTATCAGTCGCCAAGACTGGCTAATAGGATCATAACATTGAGGATGTGGATCATGAAATATGCCCATCGCAGTACCCATATGTGTTAAAAACAAAGATCTAAATATGATTACTAAAAAAAATGCATGTAATAAAAAAATAAAAATTAAATAAAATTAAAAAATTAAATGAAGACAGGAACTATAATCTAATGTCCATAATTCTTACATTTCACTTAAAGGAGAACTATGGGGTCAGGGCTTTTCCCCGTAGTTCTCCTTAGGGTAACGGGAGGACACAAACTAGCGTCCTCCCGTTACCGTAAGCTCAGTATACCGCGAGCTACAGCTCGCGGTATACTGAGATGCTGCAGGTGAAGCGAATCCCGACAATTATGCCAGGATCCGCCCAGCTGCGTGACTGACAGCTGTCTCTGCCTATCTAGAGGCAGAGCCAGCTGTACCCGCCCCCTCCCCGTCCGTTCCGCCAGTCAGCGCTGGAGGATCGGAGCGGGGAGGGGGGAATCCAGCCCCTCCCCTGTGACGGCAGAGAGCCGTGACAGGATCGAGAGGTGAGCGAACGCCGGTATGTGTTCGCTCACCTCCCGATCTACTGAGCCGACCTGTGACAGTCTCATTGTCGCAGGTCGGCTAGAACTATGAGGATGAGTGAAAAGCACTCCCCTCAAAGTTCTCCTTTAACGGATAATTCAAGCCTCAGCTTTTTTTGCATATATATATATACATAAGGCTAGCAAGCAGTAGATATATGCAAAATGCGCACGCTCCCGTCCGGAAATGTGAAAATTCTCGGGCGGCCGCAAAGGATCTTGGGGCGGGCACATGTGCAGTTCACATTTTCATCCAGGACACGAGGAGAGACACAAGGTAAGTCTATGGACGCGTGCAGCCGCATGCACACACCGTGGGACAGGAAGTGCCAGCAAGCTCAGAGGAGTCAGCGCTGTTCCTCCAGCAGTGCTGGAAGGACAGATGAAAAGGACAAGAAAGAAGAAGAAGATCAGATTAAGAAACAGGTAAGTGCTGACATTAACATTGTGTGGAGGGAAAAACATTTTTTTGCCTTTAATGTCACTTTAAACATCGGTCAGCCAATTGTTCACATTTGTATGTTAAACTTGTTGGGTTTTCTTTTTTTTTAAAGCTTTATCTATCTTACCTTCATCTTCTGTGGTCTCTTTTGGTCCAATTACTGAAAACCACAAAAAGAAAATGCATGTAATAAAATAAAAGAATAAAATGAAGACAGGAACTACAATCTAATTTCCATAATTCTTTCATTTCACTTAAACGTCGGTCAGCCAATTGTTCACGTTTGTATTTTAAACTTGTGGGGGTTTTTTTTGTAAAGCTTTATCTATCTCACCTTCATCTTCTTTGGTCTCTGTTGCTCCAATAACTGAAAACCAGATAAAAAAAATAATTAAAACCTAAACAAAGCAGATGTTAAAGGAGAACTATGAGGTGAGTGCTTTTCACTCACCTCATAGTTCTAGCCGACCTGTGACAATGAGACTGTCACAGGTCGGCTCAGTAGATCGGGAGGTGAGTGAACACATACCGGCATTCGCTCACCTCTCGATCCTGTCACGGCTCTCTGCCGTCACAGGGGAGGGGCTGGATTCCCCCCTCCCCGCTCCGATCCACCAGCGCTGACTGGCGGAACGGACGGGGGAGGGGGCGGATACAGCTGGCTCTGCCTCTAGATAGGCAGAGCCAGATGTCACTCATGCAGCTGGGCGGATCCCGGCACAATTTTCGGGATCCGCTTCAGCTGCGGCGTCTCAGTATACCGCGAGTTGTAGATTGCGGTATACTGAGCTTAGGGTGACGGGAGGACGCTAGTTTGTGTCCTCCCGTTACCCTAAGGAGAACTATGCGGAAAAGCCTTAACCCCATAGTTCTCCTTTAACACCATTTTGGTAAGCTTGTTCTAAAGTATATAAAGTGTAATATGATCTATGTACATGCAAGGTGATTCACAATGTTTCTTTTCTGAATTATTTCTCCCTATCTAACACCCCCCCCACTTCCTATTCTTTCATTTAAATCTCACTAAAAAACAAACAGAAAAGGTGCCATGAATTGTATGACTTAGCATCTGGCAATACTTACAATAATCAGAGTAGTCACCACCATCATCATCATCAAACAGATCCCACAGGTCTTCAACTGCCAGGAAAAAACACTTGGGGTTAGTACCGGGCATTGTTTGCACCATTCAGCTACATTTTTAAATTATGCAACCCACAAAATGATAAACAAATATTTTCATTTTTCTAAAAGATTTTTAACCTACAAAGAAGAGATGTGCCCGTTGCTGGGCAGTATTGGTAACACAGTTGGGAAAGTCCATTTTTAAATTGTTTATTGGCGTTTTTCATTTAGTATAAATGCACCAATAACACTGGTTGGGATTCTAAAGCTGATCTACAGGCAAACCCAAAAGGAGACTCTTGCAAAATTCCTCACCAGAAGCTGATTGGGTGGCATGCTTTAGGTGTCACCTGATCAGATTATTTTTGGAAATTTCCTGCCTACATCTTGACGTAAGCGAAGCGGTGGAATGCAGTGACGTCACTGACCTTGGATGGCTGTATGCCTATATTTGATAAATGACACTAACAGGGCTATTCACAAAAGGGTGAAGAGTTTGGAGAAGGCAGGAGAAGTGAACAATCTAGGACAACATCGCTGAACTGGAAAGTGAGCTGAATTGGAGATTTTTTCCAAATCAGCTATTTTGGCCTAGATTGTTCACTTCTTCTGCCTTCTCCAAACCCTTCACCCTTTTGTGAATAACCCTGTAAGGTATTATGGCCACATGGCCATATTAGGTAAATAAGCACAGCATCCTGCCCATTTGTGTACATGCAGCTGTGGGGTGCAGAATGCCCTCATCGCAGCTGATTGGGTGGAAGTGCCATCATCATCATGGCACTTCCTTGTTTGGAGGAGTTTGGGTTCAGACCAGGTTCGGTCTGAATCTGAGCTCATCCCTAGTCCTCTGTATTGACGTCGGTATTGGAGATATTTTCCCTCACTTCTCATCCTGGAGACATAGCTTTCACCAGGATAGAATGTAGAAGTGGGTCCCCCATACAGAGGTTCTAAACGTTTCCTACTCCATCCTAACCAGAAGCCCAGAACATTCTCTATTTAAGTATATAGAGTGTGTAGTATGCCCTGTCCTTCCGACCTGCTGCAAAGTAACATTGTTTCTAAACATTGATCAGCGGGAGATAGAGAGATACAAAGTAACATTGTTTCTAAACATTGATCAGAGGGAGATAGAGAGATACAAAGTAACATTGTTTATAGACATTGATCAGAGGGAGATAGAGAGATACAAAGTAACATTGTTTATAGACATTGATCAGAGGGAGATAGAGAGATACAAAGTAACATTGTTTATAGACATTGATCAGAGGGAGATAGAGAGATACAAAGTAACATTGTTTATAGACATTGATCAGAGGGAGATAGAGAGATACAAAGTAACATTGTTTATAGACATTGATCAGAGGGAGATAGAGAGATACAAAGTAACATTGTTTATAGACATTGATCAGAGGGAGATAGAGAGATACAAAGTAACATTGTTTATAGACATTGATCAGAGGGAGATAGAGAGATACAAAGTAACATTGTTTATAGACATTGATCAGAGGGAGATAGAGAGATACAAAGTAACATTGTTTATAGACATTGATCAGAGGGAGATAGAGAGATACAAAGTAACATTGTTTATAGACATTGATCAGAGGGAGATAGAGAGATACAAAGTAACATTGTTTATAGACATTGATCAGAGGGAGATAGAGAGATACAAAGTAACATTGTTTATAGACATTGATCAGAGGGAGATAGAGAGATACAAAGTAACATTGTTTATAGACATTGATCAGAGGGAGATAGAGAGATACAAAGTAACATTGTTTATAGACATTGATCAGAGGGAGATAGAGAGATACAAAGTAACATTGTTTATAGACATTGATCAGAGGGAGATAGAGAGATACAAAGTAACATTGTTTATAGACATTGATCAGAGGGAGATAGAGAGATACAAAGTAACATTGTTTATAGACATTGATCAGAGGGAGATAGAGAGATACAAAGTAACATTGTTTATAGACATTGATCAGAGGGAGATAGAGAGATACAAAGTAACATTGTTTATAGACATTGATCAGAGGGAGATAGAGAGATACAAAGTAACATTGTTTATAGACATTGATCAGAGGGAGATAGAGAGATACAAAGTAACATTGTTTATAGACATTGATCAGAGGGAGATAGAGAGATACAAAGTAACATTGTTTATAGACATTGATCAGAGGGAGATAGAGAGATACAAAGTAACATTGTTTATAGACATTGATCAGAGGGAGATAGAGAGATACAAAGTAACATTGTTTATAGACATTGATCAGAGGGAGATAGAGAGATACAAAGTAACATTGTTTATAGACATTGATCAGAGGGAGATAGAGAGATACAAAGTAACATTGTTTATAGACATTGATCAGAGGGAGATAGAGAGATACAAAGTAACATTGTTTATAGACATTGATCAGAGGGAGATAGAGAGATACAAAGTAACATTGTTTATAGACATTGATCAGAGGGAGATAGAGAGATACAAAGTAACATTGTTTATAGACATTGATCAGAGGGAGATAGAGAGATACAAAGTAACATTGTTTATAGACATTGATCAGAGGGAGATAGAGAGATACAAAGTAACATTGTTTATAGACATTGATCAGAGGGAGATAGAGAGATACAAAGTAACATTGTTTATAGACATTGATCAGAGGGAGATAGAGAGATACAAAGTAACATTGTTTATAGACATTGATCAGAGGGAGATAGAGAGATACAAAGTAACATTGTTTATAGACATTGATCAGAGGGAGATAGAGAGATACAAAGTAACATTGTTTATAGACATTGATCAGAGGGAGATAGAGAGATACAAAGTAACATTGTTTATAGACATTGATCAGAGGGAGATAGAGAGATACAAAGTAACATTGTTTATAGACATTGATCAGAGGGAGATAGAGAGATACAAAGTAACATTGTTTATAGACATTGATCAGAGGGAGATAGAGAGATACAAAGTAACATTGTTTATAGACATTGATCAGAGGGAGATAGAGAGATACAAAGTAACATTGTTTATAGACATTGATCAGAGGGAGATAGAGAGATACAAAGTAACATTGTTTATAGACATTGATCAGAGGGAGATAGAGAGATACAAAGTAACATTGTTTATAGACATTGATCAGAGGGAGATAGAGAGATACAAAGTAACATTGTTTATAGACATTGATCAGAGGGAGATAGAGAGATACAAAGTAACATTGTTTATAGACATTGATCAGAGGGAGATAGAGAGATACAAAGTAACATTGTTTATAGACATTGATCAGAGGGAGATAGAGAGATACAAAGTAACATTGTTTATAGACATTGATCAGAGGGAGATAGAGAGATACAAAGTAACATTGTTTATAGACATTGATCAGAGGGAGATAGAGAGATACAAAGTAACATTGTTTATAGACATTGATCAGAGGGAGATAGAGAGATACAAAGTAACATTGTTTATAGACATTGATCAGAGGGAGATAGAGAGATACAAAGTAACATTGTTTATAGACATTGATCAGAGGGAGATAGAGAGATACAAAGTAACATTGTTTATAGACATTGATCAGAGGGAGATAGAGAGATACAAAGTAACATTGTTTATAGACATTGATCAGAGGGAGATAGAGAGATACAAAGTAACATTGTTTATAAACATTTTTCTGGAATTCCACTGTATTGCCGTATAGATGGGTAATTCTTCAATGTGCAAGAATAGGATTTACTAAACACAAGTCTTACATTTCCATGTTGATGGAGGAGGAAAGGCCATTGCATCATCTGTAAAAAGATATATAGCACAGAATAATGAATGAGAGAAGATACATAGTAATATTTTGCAGCCAGAACAATTTTGCCTATTAGTGGAAAATATAATAACTTAAAGCGGACCTTTACCCCTTTTGACTAAAAATCACATCTACATACAGCTCTGCATGCTGATATGAAATCATCTCACATTCATTAGCTAAGCAAACATATTTTTCTTTTTTTTTTATTGTCCCCTTCCTGATTCTCTTGAGCATTAGTGATATAATCTGTGTCCAAGCATTGCATCCTGGGAAGGTTACATCAGCAGAGCATTGCTGGGAGATCTCATCATCACAAGATCTCAGGGAAAGGCATTTTCCTCCCCTGTGATGATGTGCATGGTCACATGTCGTAGTCGCATGTGACAGAGTTTCAGGAAGTAAAGGGAGATCTAGTAACCCACCCTTAGTAAAAATGGCCGCCGTGAGAAGAATGGGGAGGAAAAGAAAAACAAGGTATGCAAAGAATAAAAAGATGGCAATTATCTAGAAGTATGTGTTTTGTAGATTGTCATTACTAAACATTTCTTTAAAGGACAACACTTGAATAAATACATAAATAGACTTACAGTCTCCTTTGTTTTCAGGGGTGTCATCTAGGAATACAAAAAATAAATGCAAATATATTAATAAAATATAACAGTGCTTTAGTACAACAGTTTCACACAAAACAAGGCTGAGAAAAGTGCCGGGCTATGTGGGGCTCTCTTAGGAGTTGACATTGATCCCAAAATGTTGAAACACTCCTTATTGTGCACAAAAATGTTCTCTATGGAGCAGAAGGAGAGGAGCTGTAATGACAAAAATGGCCCATGTCTGCTCACTGCAGCGAGATATGACTGAACTGTAATACAATCAAAGACTAGCAGGCATTCATCGTCCTATTATTAGCAGTGATACAAACATACTCTAAATATGAGCCAATGCATATTTCTATCCCTTCGGAGATTTGCCCAAGATATTGAGTTCCCCAGTAAACTTATTAACCACAGAGATCAGTTTGTGCATAACATGCTTGTTGTAGAGCTCAGGAGAGAAATGAATGACTTTGGCATCCTTAGCATCCCTGTTACAATATCTTCTACTGTTGGTATTTGCTAATCATACAGCACCACCTGGTGGCTGGAAGTGAAAAACACAGCCTATTTAGTATAAAAGGCAGGCAAGGGATGTCAGGTTGCACATATTTTTTGCTATTATATCTCAGATCTGCCAGTGTTGATGTGCAGAGGAGGAGAAGTAGCCAGTATTGTTGGCTTTTAAAAAAAAAAAAAGTGCTTTTCACTCACCTCATAGTTCTAGCCGACCTGTGACAATGAGACTGTCACAGGTCGGCTCAGTAGATCGGGAGGTGAGCGAACACATACCGGGTTCGCTTGCCTCTCGATCCTGTCACGGCTCTCTGCCGTGACAGGGGGAGGGGCTGGATTCCCCTCTCCCCACTCCGATCTGCCAGCGCTGACTGGCGGAACGGACGGGGGAGGGGGCGGGTACAGGTGGCTCTGCCTCTAGATAGGCAGAGCCAGCTGTCACTCACGCAGCTGAGCGGGTCCCGTCATCTGCGTCGGGATCCGCTCAGGCTGCGGCGCCTCAGTATACCGCGAGCTGTAGCTCGCGGCATACTGAGCATATAGTAACGGGAGGACGCTAGTTTGTGTCCCTCCCGTTACCCTAAGGAGAGCTATGGGGAAAAGCCCTGACTCCATAGTTCTCCTTTAAACTGCCCACACAGACTGTAATCCAATTGTATAATCTCCTTTACATTTATCAACAATTGTATAGTGCAGAAAACAATTGAATTCCTTCCCACCAGCCGTATGCATATATGTGGCAGCATGGAGGTGGCTATTATTCCATGGTGCCATGATCCATGGTATCTCTCGGAAGCTTGTATTCAAAATGTGTTAGGATTAAAAATTTACCCTAAAAATTCCTCCCCCCCAACACATTTCAAAATGGATCCCCGAACACTACAGCACATAATATCTGATTCATATAGTTGAACCGCAAACTTTAACTAGAATTTCTTCTATGAGGGAAGACCTTCAACAGCTCCCTGAGAACGTTATGGAAAGGTTCCTTGTTAATATGATGCTTTGCACTTAAAAAGAGAATATACCGGAGACGTCACTCGGCAGTCCAAAGACTTGGACCTCACAGATGGTTAATGTCTGATTTTCTCCAGGGAGGAAGACGGTCACATACTGTCCAACCATGCCGTCGCATTCAAAGGCCAGGGTCTCAGCCCTTTCCATTGTTGAGATTGTTCCACATCTGGAATTGGATAAGAGAACAGAACGGGGAGTCATCACCAAAATACAACAGGGTGACGTGACACGGGATTTTACAATTCTCATGTCTCAGATTCGATGGGAATATGTTTCTTAGAGTCAAACTTCTTTTCAACCACGAATCCCCATCGACGTATCTCTGTAAAGTATTTCTTTGCATTTTTACCATAGTACTTACTGTCATCATGGTTCAAAAACAGCTCCAACTCTCTCAGCTCGGCTTCCCTGAGGTTCCTGTTGAGTACAAGATTACAGGGAGAGCAATGTCTCCAACAGTCCTCCATCTGCTAATTTTGGAGAAGGGAGGAGCGAGGAGCAAGGGGACCGCTTGCCTTGCTGTGCCTGTGTGTTTATAGAGACACACACAGCTTACTAGAATAAGAAAACTTGCCGCACTCCCCACAAAAAGACGGGTGCTCGAAATGACTGCCGATGGCGCCGACCACACATAGACAAAAAGGAAGACGTCACTAGCACTCCAACAACGATAATAACAGCAATTAGATGCTCATCTCTGAGCAGTGGCGACGCTACAGGGGGGCAAGGGGGGGCACTTGCCCCCCCCTAGGTTTTCACTTGCCCCCCCGTGTGCCCCCCCCGCTAGGGATCGGCAAGGTGTCCTTGCAGGGTCCACCGCGGTCGCACGGAACAGTTGGTACGTCCCAACACCCCCGTCCAATTTGAAGTTTTGGTACCTTCCTGCCCACGTGCAGGAAGGGTTTTTTTCTCAGGGGCGGCCGCGGAGCTTGTGGCAGAGCCTGATGGCTGTTCGCGGCAGTGTGAAGTGAAGTCAAGTCACTGCACTGGTAAGCCTGCAATGATCTGGAGCTGGGGGGGAGAGGGAACAGCAGCAGGTGAGTGAGATGTGTCTGGGGCTGGCTGGGGGGATAGCAGGAGTTGAGGCTTGGTGTCTGGGGCTGGGGGGACAGCACAGCAGCTTACTTTATATGATAGAAAAAGGAAAGAA